AATCTTCCATCTGAAAATTATCAGACCTTTCCCGCAAACCAATGAACTTAGTTCTTAAATATGTCAGTTCTGCTTACAGAACAAATGAGTTTAATGTGTAGACCCTCTTATAGTATTATTGTTCATAATAATATGAACAACATTGCTCTTCTCTTGAATATATTTTCCATAACACCATTCAAATAGTCCTATGTCATTTGCACTGAGATAAGTATTTTGGTATTCAGCTTTTATGTTCACTAGGAATAAAAAAAATGCTCCTTTAAAAGCTTAGAAAATATAACTTTTCCATGTTTTCATATATGTGTTTCAAACATGGAGAAGGAACTAGAATAACTTCTCTAAATAAACAGATTCTTTCTTGCCTATTTAAAATTGCAATGAAACAATCAAGCTTTTTTTTTCTTAGCTGCTGACCACATTGGGAAATTGTAATATGAAGTAAGAATGAATTTTCACACTTCTTGACTTGATCAAGGGTGTGTCACACAAGATCATCAAATTTGTATCTGCATACTTACATGGAAATGAGACATGGAAGCAATTTCAGTTCTCTGGAGAGTCTATACGTTCTGAAATTCTCCACCAAAACAGCTAAACCTCTAAACTCAAAATTTTTTAACTATAAACCCAAATTATTATTATTCCAGATAGGGAGAGGATATAGAAACAAAAACTTAAAAAGATGATCTTTGTGGCCGTATGTAGTGTTAAGATGGAAAAATCTCATGACCACTAAAATGCTTCTTTAACCCCAGGCAGCAAAAAGGATAGTTTTAAAATACTTGCCCCCTCCAAAGCAGGCCTCCCTCAGCAGACATTTTAAATTTCTTGGTTTTGAGAAAATAAAAATTTCACTGTTTCACAAAAAAATACAAATTACAGAATAATATATTGTTTGTTGTTCGCAAAAATTTTTGTAGATGTTTAGAAACAGCATTTATTTACTGAATCACTGGCAAACTATCACAGTAATTCTCAAGAACTAAAGTTGTATTGAACCACAATCCACAGCTAATGCTTTAAGAATTAAGGCCAGGTTTTATTTTGGCAGCCCCTAAGCTGATTCATTGTGAAAGCTTATGAAATTTCAGTACCTTGCATATAATTAGGAAGCAAGTCTAAAATTTTGGTTGAAGCAAATTTTTTTACCATTTTAGGCCACAAATACACATGGTCTTGATTCATATTTTTCCTCTTACTTTTACTTATTTCTTGCCAATATTTGTTTTAAAAACATCGTTTTTTCTCTTTGCTTCCTTTCTTTTTCTCTTTCTTTCTTTTTTTAAAAATTTTTTTTGGTGACTTGAAAACCTCTTTATATCCATATTGGATATACAATGTACTGTGTCATATCATGTTGACCTACTAATGCCTAACAGAGCTAGCAGTGACATTCAATAAATACAATAAGCTTTGTTAAAGTTTTCCCAGGAAAATCTGGAAGAGTTTTATGCTGCAAAGATTAGGTCAGTTTTCTCAATTTAGTTAATAAAATCCAGACAAAGTTAGTGACAAAATCATCTTTTTAGTTTAATGCTCCCATCTACTGTTAAAGCAAAGAATAGCAATTAGGTAGAAAGGCTTATTTTTAATTGCACAATTAATAAATAAATGTTTAAATGCTTGTGTGATATCCATTGCTGTTAAATCCTTACTACAAATGAAATTAAAATACCTGTTGGTCCTAAAGAAAATTGACTATGGTGTGTCAAATTTATGTTAGTAAAGAGATTCGGTATTCTAAGTGGTCTCTTTCTACTTAGAAAATTATGTAAGGAAATTATGATTTTCTAGTGACAGGAAGAAATGATTTATTCCATACTATCTCCATTTTGGCAATTGTAAAGAGTCATGACAGCATAACAAAAATTACATCTCAGGAAAACAGAAGAGTTTCCTTCTCAGCAAAACAGAAGGGTTTATCACATCATCTAACTCATTTTTCAGCTGTTGAAGGAGGGTGCTCCCATCTTGGTCAGTCCTATGCGGATAGAGATGTCTGGAAACCAGAACCATGCCAAATATGCGTCTGTGACTCAGGATCTGTTCTCTGCGATGACATAATATGTGATGATCAAGAATTAGACTGCCCTAACCCAGAAATCCCATTTGGAGAATGTTGTGCAGTTTGCCCACAGCCTCCAACTGCTGTAAGTTTAAAGAAAAAATTGTACATCTTCAAGATTCGTATTTAAACACATGAATAGCTCCTATATCATAGGAGACTGAAAGGAAATAAAAGTTATGTCTGTCAAATAGTCATGTTGGTATTACAAGTAAAAGGTGCACTTCCAATTTAAAGCTAGAGATTGAATGTAATCTTGATTAAGAAGTAAATATGTCTTTTTAAATCTGTATCTTTTCCATTTTTTCAGCCTACTCGCCCTCCTAATGGTCAAGGACCTCAAGGCCCCAAGGGAGATCCAGTAAGTCACAGTCTTCAGTAGGACAGAGTTAATGCTAATGATAGTGCCAGGAATAGTTTGTTTTGTTTTGTTTTGTTTTCTCTTTTTGTATCCTTTCCAGATTTTAACTTTCAGAGTTAACACATTTTCTTTAGTACTACACGTTTGAATGATGACACCAAATGACAAACTGAAAATCCATAATCACACATCTAAATATTAAAATTTCCCTAACTTCATATAATGTCTTTATCTTATCAGTTTGAAAAATAAAATATAGATCAGTATACAAACAAATGCATTACACTTAAATTATTCACATGATTTGTATAAAAGTGTATTTACTCCCAAGAAAATATTTTATATTGATTCTTAATATTATAAAGCAGAGAAGCTACAAATTTGGTAATGATTCTGAGTCACTAGGACTTCTCACTGTTTTGTTTATTTTTACCTCTGATTTTCTTTTTAGGGCCCTCCTGGTATTCCTGGGAGAAATGGTGACCCCGGTATTCCAGGACAACCAGGTTCCCCTGGTTCTCCTGGCCCCCCTGGAATCTGTGAATCATGCCCTACTGGTCCTCAGGTAATAAATTACAAGACTGAAAGATTCCCTCTATGAAACTACTAGTTCATCTTCTTTCTTAAGCCTATATTACATCTCACTATTGTGGACTTTTATATCTATTCTCTGATTTTACGTATTTAGCAAATTCTTATTTAGTGCTTACATGTGCTAAGCACTATTCTAAGTGCTTTATAAGTACTCACTCTTCACTCTTACTCAAAATGCTATTGTTACTATTTATATATTCTTGCAAAATTTCCCAACTTCTTAGCAGGTATTTAACATATGCAGTGTGTTTCAGAATGAACTATTAACTCCCAAAAGAAATAACATACAGAATTTAGGAAGTGCTACAGATGTACTTTATTCCCCTTCTTACACTAATGGTAAAGCCTCTGGAAGTTTTTTTTTTTTTTTTTTTTTTTACAAAAAGCAGTTGAAGAGCTGTGAATATTCTTTACTGACTTCAAATCAACAGGATTATTCATGCCTATGCAACTGCTCTTGCTAAGCCTTCAGAGAACATCCAGCTCCTCCTGAAGCATTGCAATCAACTAACTGCATGTAAAACAAATGACCAAACAAATAAATATGACAAAATTTCTGCTGCATGAAGTTAGGCAAAACTAGAAAACATATATGATAAATCTCTATGAGGTTAAAAATGTGCTTTTCGGGCCGGCCTGGTGGCGCACTGCTACAGTGCGCCGCTTGGGAGTGCGGCGGCGCTCCCACCGAGGGTTGGGATCCCACATACAGACTGGTTCCCGTTCACCGGCTGAGCGAGGTGCAGGCGCAACACCGAGGGTTGCGATCCCGTTGCCGGACACGAAAAAAGACAAAAAAATAAAAATAAAAAATGTGCTTTTCAAAAAGCAATTCAACAAGAAGCAAAGGATATTGTCTAACTTATTCATAACCTGGTAACCAAATAGAACCCAACTTTAGACCTAGAACTCAAAATAAAATAAACACCAGAAGAACCTATAATCATATGAACCTTTCTACTATTCTTTTGTTTATTTTCGATGGGTATGTTTATTTTGGGGTGAATCTTTTAGGTGTATTAACCAGAAGCCAGGTGACATGAATTTCACTTGTATCATTAACTGTTGGAAAAGTAATCTTACTTCATTTTTCATTCAAAACGAGAAGGTTGGATTATACAATATCAAGACGCACCCTCAAACAGTCGATAATCCTATGTTTATAATGCTGTAGATATTGCTTAGAAATAATAGTTTGAGTAAAAGTGTATAGGAACAAATTTGAGAGAATTAACATTGAATACAATGAGTTGAAAGATTTGTGCATTACACAAGCCAGTGTTTCTGTAGGATATCTAATATCTAAAGCTATAGAGAGACTGGATAAACAAGGTAATTAATTAGTACATACCACATCCTCTAGCGTGCAGAAACCTTCTATCAGTGGATGATTGATGTTGCATGCACTTCTAAATACTTTTGAAAATAACTATGATCTCCCTATTAAAATCATCGTATCTGTCTTGTCTTTTTGCTACAGAACTATTCTCCCCAGTTTGATTCATATGATGTCAAGGCTGGAACAGGAATAGGAGGACTCGCTGGCTATCCTGGACCAGCTGTATGTACAAATGTTTCTCAGCATTTTAGAGCATTATTTGTTAAATCTTGAATGGTGGTTCTTCCAAAAATGCAGTACTTTTCTGGAATTGTACAAAATAGCTTAGTTCTTATTAAGGTTGGAAAAGAAAATGGTAGCATTATCATGGTCCTTTTATCCTAACTTGTTCTCCTCACCACCTCCTGTCGTGCTGTGCCTGTATTGCCACTCCTTCTTACATACCATGTGTGTCGGGGACCACCTGCCTTCATGCTTAGGTCTCTCTCTCCTATGTTCCCTAATTTTAATCAAATGTTACTTTTCACTTTCACTGTTATTATTTCTCACCTAAGTTGTTCAGAATTTTCTTTTTATGTCTTTTCATTCATTAAGTGCTACTTTCTATGTGGCAGTCTAAGTGGTGAATGTCCAATATCATATGTCTTACATCCAATTCTCAAATCAAACACAAATATTTCATTGATTCTTTAAGTTCATCTACCTTAAATAATAGCTATTTACCTTATACCCAGAGGGTTTCTCTCAATGTAAATGACCTAGAGTTTTAATAGAAGAAAATAGCAAAATGGGCACACATTCATTATACATGGTGTCCCGTGTAAATGACGCTTGCTATAGAAAGCCTCTTAAGAGAACCAACATTAGGAGAGATTGTAATATCACTGCAAGTAACAGGTATGTCAATGTAAATAAAGCATGGCACTGGTTTCTCTGGGATTGTGGAGGATTGCTGCCCAGATCATTGGACCTCATATTTGTGACTTCCAAAACTAGAGAGGACAAAATTTTTGCCAATAGATCCAGATAGCGTGTTGAAGAAAGACCCTTAGAATCGATATGTTGTAAACTACAAAAAAAGAATCTTATAAATCTCTTACAGTTTTAGGGGCTGTGAGTTTTTGGTATCTTTCAAACCCAGACAGAGAAATTTATTAACTTATGTAAACATCAGGTCTTAGCTACATTCACATTACTAATTTCATTTTTAAATCAGATATACAGTTTTTAGTGAAAAATAAAAAAATAAATAAATCCACCACTTATTGACATCGCGGAAGTGTTTAACAAGAGAAAATTTAATTACAAACTGTTGTTTTATAAATTCATTATCAGTATTTAGAAACAGTGTGCTACAGAACTGAAGGTTTTCCAGTTTATTCCGTATTTCTGAACAATGATAAATTAACTTGTTATCATTTCAAGTTATCATTGTACTATGTATGATTCTCATGTATACATCTAAATCTCCATGTGAGTATAACACTGTGATATCTATATCAATATACTAACAAACTTTGGGGTTCACTTACATCATTATTTTAGAAACTTGGATTATAGGATTTATAGTATGCAGATATTTTTCCACAGCGAGTTTGGTTGCCAGGTAATAAATAGTTTCTTCATCAGGGCAGTATCCCTCCAGTATTGCAAGGATTCTCATAGCATTTTGTACTGATTTTTCCAGATTTTGAATTTCCTTCTTTAGGCGTTCTGATCAACATTTTATGACATCTGTCAATAAATTTTATTTATTCTGTGAGAATTTCATTTAGAGTGATGTTTTCTTACTGAGACTTCCATGGTAGATCTCATAAAATTAAGCATACCCATGAATGGTTATAAAATTTGATAATAACAATTGTTTGCATTTTTAAAGATGTCACCATCATTTCTAAATTGTCTCTCCTCTTTGATAAATGAATAAAGAGTATTTCACATTCATTTACTTTGTATTTATCATTTAAATTTACATTGCAGGGCCCCCCAGGCCCCCCTGGTCCCCCTGGCACAGTTGGTCATCCTGGCTCCCCTGTAAGTATAGCCATTAGTGGTGCTTTCTTCATGTATATACAAACCAAATTAGTATACACCCTGCTGTAATATAGCCATTCCAGCATGCATAATTACAATTAAGTAGAGAAGTCACAAGCAAGATACTGAATATTCCTTCAAATATGTTAGAATTCCATAGTTAATTCATTTCTACCAACAATTACCAATTAAAACCTTGGTAAAATTAAACCATGTGTTTAATTTACTTATAATATGGTTTAAAGTTCAAAGCAATTCAGTTACAATGAAATGAAATGAATGGAATGGAATACATTAACTTTATTCTGAGATGAAAAATATTTTGGTTTTAATCTTTCTAAACTGGAATAAAACTAGCTGACTACATTCACAAACCCCGATTTCTTACTGCCTTCAGGATGTCAATAAATAATATGAAGATAATGTCACTTTTCAAACATTTGCATATCATTCTACTCACTAGGGTTCCCCAGGATACCAAGGTCCCCCTGGTGAACCTGGGCAAGCTGGTCCTTCAGTAAGTAACAATTAAATCTATATTTAATAAATTGACAAGCCTTTATAGAAACTACCTCCATTTTCTAAACTAGGCGTAGATCCCTACAGAGTGTAGATTAAATTTATACTAAAATTTTTAAATAATAAATAGCATTTTTTATGATACTTGAACTGGTTTCAAAGGTCTTTTGAACTCTTTCAACAGCTTAAATATCTTAGAGACATTTACTACTTAAGATAGGAATTTCCTGGTTAATTAGCCATCACAGTAGCCCACTTCCCAGAATTGATACAAATCCTCTATTAAATACAGATTTCATTTTTGTGTAGACACTCATTTCACCCATATATCTACTTTACATATATATGTATGTGTGTATATATTTATATATATATACACATTTTTAAACTTAATACAGTAGAGATAAGTATAATGTAGTAGAATTCTCCAGAAGGATGTGCTGTGTAAATAAACAAGTAAGGTAGAATTATTTTAATACAATATTTCAAAATATTTAGAAATACCTTTATATTTAGATATATTCAATATCCCCAAAATGTTGACCTATAGTTAGATTTATAAATGCACACATGTAGTATAAAATATGCATATACAATGCTTTAAATTTTTATTAAAAATAAGTTTAAGAAACCATAAAAATTGTATATAATAGAGATATAATATTAACTCAGTGTTGTTTTCATGAGCATTGAAAGTATTTTCCAAAAAGAGGTTTCTTCAGGAATACACATAGTATGTAATAATAAATTGCAAAACTTTACAAATATATTTGTTTTTTACTTCCTTATTTTCAGGGCCCTCCAGGACCTCCTGGTGCTATAGGTCCATCTGGTCCTGCCGGAAAAGATGTAAGTTTTCAAGTATTGAATGAAGGTACAGGGAAAAAATTCCGCTTGGAATATTCTAAACAGCATATGCCATATGTCAGAATCTCAGAGGGAAAAATGTTATTCAAAAAATTGTTGATGTGTTAACAACATTGTAGTTCACAACAATCTTTGGGTTTCTATACAGTGTTTGCATAGCTATATATACCATTTGTTGAATTCCAAACTAATAGAACCGCCAAATTTGCATTTGCACATTTTTGCTGGCAGGAAGACTCATCCAGTGAATATATCATTTAAATAGAGGAGATATAAGTTTCTTCTTCTGCCTCTTGTAATGAAGAAATTGCTATCAGTACTTTATGAACTTCAGGACTTACAAACACCTTTAATACTATGCTATTTTTTTTCCCATTTAATTTCCAATGACAAATTCTTCTCATTGGGTTGAGGAAGGGTCATAATATTTCAGTGATGAGAGACACATACACTATTTCTTTATAAATTTATATCAGAGGGAGAAAGGCCCCCCTCATTCCTCCCGCTGAGAAAGCTGACCTCACAAGTCTACGTTCAGTCCAACCATTTTAAAGAGTCCTTGGTGAGAAAAATGCAAAGTGATCAGTTCGCTCATTGGCTACGGTGTATGTTCTCACACACTAGCACCTACACATTCTCTATTTCTCCACCTAGGGAGAGTCAGGAAGACCCGGGCGACCTGGAGAGAGAGGACTGCCTGGACCTCCAGTAAGTGTTCAGCACCCAACACATCAGTTGGAGCAACCACAATTATCTTTGCTTGAAAATTATTATATAATTAAATTGAATTAAACTTAAAAATAGAAGGCAAATATTTTACTATTGGATTTTGATTCTATTTGAAGGGTTGCTAATATCTCTCCCATTCATTATTTTTAGGGTATCAAAGGTCCAGCTGGCATGCCTGGCTTCCCTGGTATGAAAGGACACAGAGTAAGTAGAGTTTCTAAATTGCCTATAATCTGTTCCGTTTGGCTGTGTTTTCTTGCCTAACCAATTTTATAGGACAATCTATGTGCTAAAAAATGGTCCATTCTGACAACTAGTGGATTTTATTTTTTTAAAAGTCTATCAACTTTATTTGTTGACCAAACTAGTTATATTATGCAAAATAGTTGAGCTAATTTTAAGTGTATGGAAAGGCTTGGGAAAGGATAATTTAATTCTGTTATCCTCACTTTCAGGACAAAATGAAAAAATATTACTAACTATATATATATTATACATTTACTTAGTTGATATGATTTATAGACTGGAGCAACTTTATTCTGTGAAAAACATTAGGTAGATTCAACCAATTGAGCCCATAATTTATCAATTTAATAGAAATAAAATCTATGAAACTGATGTTTGCTACTCTACAGTTAAGGCAAATTTGTAATTGGACTAAATAGTACTTTCTAATTTAGTTCAGATTATTTTTTTAACTATAAAACAAAATTAAATGTATTCAACCCATTTAAAAGAGTTTTAAATTATTTAAGTTAATGTTACAAATAGTGCTATGTAGTAAAAGCTAATTATAAAAAATCAATGTAAAGTTTATCAACTGTTCTGGATTTTAATAGTTTTACTATTTTTATACATTTCGTAGGGCTTTGATGGACGAAATGGAGAAAAGGGTGAAACAGGTGCTCCTGGATTAAAGGTAAATCACAACAAAATCATATTTTTACAAGTAAATTCACTTAAGTTTTAAAGCTATATTTAAGATTTATATTGTAGAGCTTAACTTTTTCTGAAATTCACCTGAATTTTACATATTAGGGGCTGAATAACAGTGACTAACAGAGATAGTCTATTAAAGCTTCTATGAAAGCCGATAATTTGAAGGGTCTAGGTTAGAAATGGTTGAACATCCCAGTGTAATTCATGGATTATTTCTGTTTATTCCCCAAGTAGAAACTGAAATTTTTGATAAATGAAATAAAGTGCTAACAGAAATTTGATATTGTTAAATGTATATTTTTTCCTTAGGTTTCATAATATTTTCCATAATATGCTATGTTTTAAAGAACTATAAAACTCTCTGCCTGTTATATAAAATAGTAACATATTATATGTATTTAGGGTGAAAACGGTCTTCCAGGTGAAAATGGAGCCCCTGGACCCATGGTAATTATGTTTCTTATTATATAATTTTCACTTTTACTATTAACCTCCATCTAACCCAAAAGTTGCCTTGCTTTCTCCCCAACTGTTCTTACACATGTCGAGTTTAAAGACTATACTTTCAATTTTACTCTGTAGGGTCCAAGAGGGACTCCTGGAGAGAGAGGCCGGCCAGGACTTCCTGGAGCTGCGGTGAGCATTGTTACCAATGTGGCACAAATACAACCCAAAGTAACAGATAAGTGTTTCAGGTTTTCAGCCTCTGAAAATCTGCAGGAAAATGTTCTTTCTACAAAATTGTATTCAAAGTCACCTCAATAAAATTTTGGCTGTAATTATAGGGAAATAAGTGTTTTATAATTATTGCCTCTGTTGAGAAATTTTTAAGTGTTAACTTTGCATATATCATTAAAGACATTATATCTGTATTCAGCTCTGAAAACACAGAAAGCAGTCCTTCCACATGTAATCATTGCTGTATATATCAGAATTTTAACAATTTGACTCTAAAGATATATAACTAGTAAGAAGATGTTAATATACTTGAGGAAAATTCAACAAAATTGAGACAGAATTTAAGTCAAAATGTTACTTGTGACCAGCCTTTCAGAATCAAGATATTTGAAACAAACTTGTCTTTTTAGGGGGCTCGAGGCAATGATGGTGCTCGAGGTAGCGATGGTCAACCAGTAAGTAACTTTGTATTTAACCCTGACTTGCTCCAGGGTAATGAAAGATTATGGACTGTAGATTATTTTATATTTATAATATAGTATATAACTAATACATATATTAGTTTCTATGTTGACTATTTTTATAATTTAAAAAAATGAAAACAATTAATTTTGTTGTAGACCCATTACTCAATGTTATACATAAGCATCTGATTCAAACTGACACTGAGCTAAGTTCTGACACTCCTTAGTATGCTTGACCAATTGCTAACATGGTACATAAAATGTTAGTTAATATCGAATATTGTCTATGGCAATTAAAAGAGCCCTGCAAAATAGATAATGACACTACCTCCATTTTGTAAACGATTTTGTACAAAAGCTTAGGGCTAAGTAATCTGCACAAAGTCACAGAATTCATGGCAGAAGTAAGGAGAAATCCAGATTTTTCTAACTTTAGATTTCACTCTCTTGTTTTAACACATTTTTTGTCCATATAATGTTCATCCATGAATGATGAATACTATTTTTATCTGCATAAGTGTCTTCTGTATTTTACATGTGCTCACTTATTATTTACTAGTAGTGTTAGCTTTCTTTTATCTGATTAAGAGATCTTGAAATTGTGTTTAATTTTTTCAGGGCCCCCCTGGTCCTCCTGGAACTGCAGGATTCCCTGGATCCCCTGGTGCTAAGGTAAGCATGTATTTCTATAGAAGAATATAAAGATATCTTGGAGACAACAGAGAAGTGTTGGATTGCTTCTTGCAAATTATTATTATTTTTTTAACCAGTCAAATCAATAACTTTTATCTCTACAGAACTTTAAAGCTCTATTCTTGATTCTAAAAAGAGTGTTACCCTGGCATTCAACTATCCTGATAACTCTTTGGATGCCTTCCCTCTTTTGCCAGACTCTTTCTGGGAAACAGAGATAACATAGTCATACACATATTCACCCTTTTTCTCTGCCTTTATGGTTAATGTCTTCTTGCTTTAGCTACACTATGTGGTCATACTACTCCAGCCTTTGGTGGATGGGTTTTAACAGGACTGAAGGGTGAGCTGATTAAGTGATTAGAAGTGGCAAGGGAAACTGACTACTTAGGGTTTTATTCCTTAGGGTGAAGTTGGACCTGCAGGGTCTCCTGGTTCAAGTGGCTCCCCTGGACCAAGAGGAGAACCTGGACCTCAGGGACATGCTGGTGCTCAAGGTCCTCCTGTAAGTAGCAAATATGGCATCCAAGAGTGAGGACGCTGTTCCACTCATTCTATGAAAGCATATGTTTCAATGTCACTACCAAGCAAAATTGGCTCCTTGAAAAGAAAAAGTTGCCTAGTGCTCTATCGTGACTTTACTGTGATAAATACTGATTTGATTAATAGTAAAAAGGTTGTTTTTAAGGGTTACACTATTTTAGAATTCACAAATTTTACATTTATATAATACAGAATAAATTAGAGGATGGATAAGACAGTTATCTGATACTTTGAAGAACGTACCCCAAACTAATCACCAATCAGAAAAATTCAGAGAAGAAACAAAACTGAAAATCTTTTCTACTTGTTTATTTATTATTTAATAATTTAGACCAAGTGTATATTATTTCTAATTTGTTTAGATAATGATAATTCTTTTGCCTACATTCTACATGTTGGGCTGTAGTTGGAGGACTCACCTAACGTCTACAAAGCATAACACCCACCAATAAACTTATTTTGCAAAAAAACAACTTCAAATACATATGCACTATTTGCATTATTATTTATATGTTCTTTGTTTTGTGCCCTAGGGCCCTCCTGGGAGCAATGGAAGTCCTGGTGGCAAAGGTGAAATGGTAAGCTGCCCCTCACTTCCTCCTCATCTCATCCACACACATGATATTGGTTTTTCTTGCATTTTGCATGGCAATAGATTTGTGATATTTAAGTGAGACATTCTGGAAAGAAAGTTCAAGTTTGCCTAATGTTAGTGTGCTTGGCTTGTTCTTAGGGTCCCGCTGGCATTCCTGGAGCTCCTGGACTGATGGGAGCCCGGGGTCCTCCAGGACCAGCTGGTACTAATGGTGCTCCTGGACTGCGAGGTAGTGCAGTAAGTCGACTTTTTATTTCTTTGTTGTTGAAAGGTGTAGCTTAATTCCCACAGCAAATACATTAATAGCAAATTTTGGGCTCCTGTTCAGTTGATTTTATATTGATTTCACTCTGGTCTTACAACTAAATTATATGTTCTTGGTGATGATCTTGTTCACCAAATCCTCCCTGTTTTAAAACAAAGATTTTCTTTCACTATAGGGTGAACCTGGTAAGAATGGTGCCAAAGGAGATCCAGGACCACGCGGTGAACGTGTAAGTGTTACTTCAACAGATGTAGCTATTTCTGAGAAAAATGCAACATAATTAGAAAATAAACAGGTAAAAATTTCAGTACTCAATTCAGTCACAATTCCTTTACTTTGCCATCTTCTTTTAGGGTGAAGCTGGTTCTCCAGGTATTCCAGGAGCTAAGGGTGAAGATGGCAAAGATGGATCACCTGGAGAACCTGGTGCAAATGGACTTCCAGGAGCTGCAGGAGAAAGGGTACGTTTTCCATAGGACATCAAAGAGAAAAACAACATTACTATCATCCAAATGAAACTTCACCTTCAGGGTGAGGCTACCATTGTTTTTCTTAAGTCGACTTCCCAATCCCAAATATCAAATATTGCTTAAGGTTTTTTATAACATGAGACTATCTATATTGACAGTCACAAATTATGAAATGTGTTAATCTTTTGTACTGAAATTCTTGACTTTCATTATTTCCAGGGTGCCCCTGGATTCCGAGGACCTGCTGGACCAAATGGCATTCCAGGAGAAAAGGTAAATAACTTTAGTTTCTCTTATTCTAAATGCTAGTACTACAAATAGGTTTTTTTTTTTTTTCTGTTCTGTTTCCCATTAATGAAAACCTAAATATTTAAAAGAAATATATTGGAGTTAAAAAAATAATAATTCTCAGTGTAAAACAATGATTCCAGCTCTTGCTCAGCCACTTTCCTATGCTTCATAACTAAAGTAAGTCACTTATCCTCTATGAGAATCCATTAACTTATCGCTCAGTTAGGAATCACTTATCTCAGCATCAGTGAAATAAAATGAACTAAAATGCCTGAAAGCTCTTTGCATACTGTAAAGTGATATGCAAATATAATTTCATATCATCAAAGATATTTGACTTTTGATGCACAGAAATATATTGTTAAGTCCACTAAATATTGTTTTTTAAGCATGTGAGATTCATTATAGTTGCTTGAAAATTATTTTTTAACAAGGCAATCCAAAGATAACTGTGATTTTATAGAGAGAATGTTAGCAACACACCAACTCTCTTTAAGAAGCCAAACGAAGTTCTCTAGTTATAACCTAAATATCACCAATGTCTAGGTTAATGAAGGCTATTTAAAATATTTATATATTTCACTACTTAGGGTGCCCCTGGCGAGCGTGGTGGTCCAGGCCCTGCAGGGCCTAGAGGAGCAGCTGGAGAACCTGGCCGAGATGGTGCCCCTGGAGGTCCAGGAATAAGGGTACAGAGAAACATTTGTTTGAATGACACTTTAATTTAGTTAAGAAGAAAAGCAAGGTAAATGAAGATGGATCAAAGACAACTTAAATCAAGCAACACCTTTTGAAAGGCTCAAAACAAAACAAAACTCTTTTCAAACAACTTAGGCCAGAATAGATCATGGGAGAACAGAAATTAGAACACCTAAGACAATTTAGAGACAAAAGAAAAAGGTGTGTAAATATGAGGTTACAAATGTAAGTGGAAATCTCAAAATTGTACAAATAATATATGTTGTACTTCATAAAATTTTCATCTTAAATCACCTGAAAACTGACTTCTTTAACTCAGGGTGTGCCCGGAAGCCCAGGAGGACCAGGCAGTGATGGGAAACCAGGACCTCCCGTATGTACATCTTTAAAATCTCATTTTACAAGTCCAGTAAAAATGAAATGTATATTTTGGCCTAGACTTGAACATATGTATATATGTTGTACATTTTGATCAGATTGTCATCAAACCTTTACTAACGTAATTTTTTTCTCATTAGGGAAGTCAAGGGGAAAGTGGTCGACCAGGTCCTCCAGGACCATCTGGTCCCCGAGGTCAGCCTGGTGTCATGGGGTTCCCTGGTCCTAAAGGAAATGATGTGAGTTCCTTCGCTATTTTCTTCAATAAAATATCTGACTGAAGGCCTTTTATTTTCCATATGGGAGTGCAGATGTGGCCAAAACTTGGTCTCCTCTTCAAAACGTGGAAGAGTGTATGAAAATCAAACAGCATGTAGATGGAACCTAAATATGTACTTGGTTATGGTTATGTGTGTATATGTCGACAAAGCAGATCAAAAATATGAGGGAACAATGTGACTAGAGATTTCCTTTTGAGAATGAGTAAATACTGGCCACCTGCTTTTTAGGGTGCTCCTGGCAAGAATGGAGAACGAGGTGGCCCTGGAGGACCCGGCCCTCAGGTATGTAGCTTTCATCAGCTTATTTCTAGCCTTCCAATAGATTCATTCATCTCCAACCTTATAACTTCTCTCTGTTACCTGCATCATCTCTGCTTCTCTAACTGTTGTTGTTTTTAGGGTCCTGCTGGAAAGAATGGTGAAACTGGACCTCAGGGTCCTCCCGGACCTACAGTAAGTTTACTCCCATAAATTGGAAACAGAAGTAGAGTGGAGGGTGGGGCAGGGGAAGGCTTTAGAAATTACATTTCTTACACTATTTTATTATAGATTACCAAGGCAATTATGACACTTGCTTATTTAGTTAATGAGCCAAATGCTGAATTTAATAAAGTTTCTATTGTGCATGTCTGCTTTGGGTCACTTCCAGAGTTCAGACTCTCCCTTCAATTCAACCATTAATTTTTAAACTAAGCAATGGGCCTGCTGAAATGGAAACTGTGTGGACTGAATATGAAAGGACATTTTATAATGGAGTGTATCATTATATTTGTCTATATAGGGACCATCTGGTGACAAAGGAGACACAGGACCCCCTGGTCCACAGGGATTACAAGTAAGCACTTGTTAATTAAATGTCATTGGATACTTGCTTTTAGCAGACAACTCAGTACTTTCTCTTCATAACTGTAATTGTCCAGGAAATTGACTGTTCAAATTTTTTGTGACTGTAATAGATTACAATTCATCTGGAGCTTAATTTATGAGTCTGTTTTCCTTCTTGAAATAAAATGTCAGGCAATGTTGATAGATAGGCATATCTTCCACGTGTATTTCAGAATGACATGGTTATTTAAAGTNTTTTTGTGACTGTAATAGATTACAATTCATCTGGAGCTTAATTTATGAGTCTGTTTTCCTTTTTGAAATAAAATGTCAGGCAATGTTGATAGATAGGCATATCTTCCATGTGTATTTCAGAATGACATGGTTATTTAAAGTTTTTTAACAAATTAACTAGACTCATATAATTCTATAAATTTACATTTATTTTTTCACTATAGTGTAAATCCATACTGGCTGTTGGCCAGTATGGGGATCCAAACCCCTTGATCTTTGTGCATGGTATTATGTAGAGTGGAGGGTGGGGCAGGGGAAGGCTTTAGAAATTACATTTCTTACACTATTTTATTATAGATTACCAAGGCAATTATGACACTTGCTTATTTAGTTAATGAGCCAAATGCTGAATTTAATAAAGTTTCTATTGTGCATGTCTGCTTTGGGTCACTTCCAGAGTTCAGACTCTCCCTTCAATTCAACCATTAATTTTTAAACTAAGCAATGGGCCTGCTGAAATGGAAACTGTGTGGACTGAATATGAAAGGACATTTTATAATGGAGTGTATCATTATATTTGTCTATATAGGGACCATCTGGTGACAAAGGAGACACAGGACCCCCTGGTCCACAGGGATTACAAGTAAGCACTTGTTAATTAAATGTCATTGGATACTTGCTTTTAGCAGACAACTCAGTACTTTCTCTTCATAACTGTAATTGTCCAGGAAATTGACTGTTCAAATTTTTTGTGACTGTAATAGATTACAATTCATCTGGAGCTTAATTTATGAGTCTGTTTTCCTTCTTGAAATAAAATGTCAGGCAATGTTGATAGATAGGCATATCTTCCACGTGTATTTCAGAATGACATGGTTATTTAAAGTTTTTTTAACAAATTAACTAGACTCATATAATTCTATAAATTTACATTTATTTTTTCACTATAGTGTAAATCCATACTGGCTGTTGGCCAGCATGGAGATCCAAACCCCTTGATCTTTGTGCATGGTATTACAGCACCATGCTCTAACCAAGTGAGCTAACTGGCCAGCCCTCAATATATTTTTATGTGCAGCAACAAAATTGAGGGAGATGAACATAGGTTTATAAGATATGATTTTCACATCTGTCATTGGATTTTGAATAGCACAGATTTTCTACCCCCCAAAATACCACTAAAACCATTTTTTAATACCTTACAGAAGCATGTTTATGTATGAGAAGCTTTTTTTTTTTTTTTTTGTAAGCAGTGTTTGAAGTAATTATATAATACAAATATGATTTTTTTTGTAGGGCTTGCCTGGTACTGGTGGTCCTCCAGGAGAAAATGGAAAGCCTGGTGAACCAGTAAGTAGCATTTTATTTTTCAAAACTCAGAAACCAAAAGAATGCATAATAATCATTTATCAATTATTAACTTTTGCATTTTCTCATGCCATGATATCCAAGTTTTAACATTTAGTTTTGAAATATTCATTAACAAAACAAAGACAAATCATTTAAAAGTTAACTGTTACATAGAGTTTGAGTTTTACCATAAAATAAAGGAACTAAAAAAACAGTACATAGTTTCAAGATTTGAAAAATTATGCAATATGCAAACAAGTCAAATATGTATTTTGCTTATATTTATATAACATGCATTCTGGTATAGGCCTAATCATATAACACCAACCTCCTAGGGTCCAAAGGGTGATGCTGGTTCTCCCGGAGCTCCAGGAGGCAAGGTAATATTTCAATTTATTCTCTAACTACTTCAACATGTTCTAGAGTAATTGATTAGTGATACATTTTTAGTTTTTCAAGCCAAAATACTCTTTCCTTCAAAGAGCAACATTGCAAATGTTTGGGGAATACATTTAGGGAAACAAGTCATTTTCAGTACATTACATTTGCTACATCTGGAAAATCCAATTCTCTGACATTAATAAGCACTATAGAATCAACCATGGGCTTGAAATAAAACATAGAAATAAAAATACTGCCAGTGCATTTACTCCATATAGGAATACTGTTTTGGTAGAACTTTTGCTCTTGTGAATGAAATAATAATAAGTGTTTCAATGACAGCTCATACTTAGGCAGACCAAGTATCTGAGTTTCCTTGTTTAGAATAAGTTTCCAATTCCCACTCAGCTGATCAAATGTTGTTTTATAACTATGAAAATTTACAAACTGGTCCAAAATATAAGTTAAGAACCTAGTGGCCTACTTCAAAATGATACAATTTAAGGTGGTTTTTTTTGTTGTTGTTGTTTGTTTGTTTTTAGCACTGGGTTTTCTAATACGAATATTACACTTTCCTATCACAGGGTGATGCTGGTGCCCCTGGTGAACGTGGACCTCCTGGACTGGCAGGGTCCCCAGGACTTAGAGGTGGAGCTGGTCCCCCTGGTCCCGAAGGAGGAAAGGTAACTCCACAGAATTTAATTCACCTAGATTATGGAAAATGCCCTCCATTTCCTTCTTGCTGTTTACTATTTCTCCCTTAATTCCAGGGCCCTGCTGGTCCCCCTGGGCCACCTGGTACTGCTGGTAGTCCTGGTCTGCAAGGGATGCCTGGAGAAAGGGGAGGTCCTGGAGGTCCTGGTCCAAAGGGTGATAAGGTACTGACTGGTTTTCCCCTAATTATGCAAGAAAACAGACATTCTAGGTTAAAGTAAAGCAACACTCTGGAAAATAATCTACTTTCTAAAATTTCCACTTTCTAATAAAATTAGAAAAAAATCTAATTTTATTAATATGAAATTAATACTATCATGTTATAGTAAGTGAAATGTGGGATGAATTCCTGAAGCAATTATTAATTTGAACACCTAACAGATATTCCAGAAAATAAGGAAGTTGCTCCTCTTCATGGCAGACTTTCACTAAGGATACTTCTAATCTGATCACATTGGCTTTCATTTGACAGGGTGAGCCAGGCAGTGCGGGTGTTGATGGTGTTCCTGGGAAGGATGGCCCAAGGGTGAGTATTCTCAGTGAAGAGAAACAGGCCTTATCCACGTGTGATATGGGACCCTCCAGTCATCACTTCAACTTTTTCATTTTCCAAAAAATTCTCATGATAAATTAGACCACATTTTACCACCTTCTGAACATTAAAAAGACCCATATCACTTAATTGTTTAAAATCCTGGTTTATATCTATCACTACCTGATAGTTCTACTGTGACCTAAAAATGGAAAAGCTTTAAAAGTATGATTAAGGCCACAAGGTAAAGATTGCGAGTCACTGTCATCCAAGATAATCAATACTGCTCATTAGGTGACTTTTTGATTTTGGAAAAAAACATCATCATCTGGTTGTACAGTCATATCATGGAATATTAGCAATGAAAAGGAATGAACTATTGATAGCCAACAACTCAGATAAACCTCAAGGACATCAAGATGAGTGAAGAAAAGTCAACCTCAAAAGGATGCATACTGCATGATTCTATTCCTGTAACATTCATGAAATAACGTAATTGTAGAGATGTAGAACAGATTAGTGGTTGCCAGGAGTTGAGAAGACGTATGTGGCTACAGGAGGTGACTGAGGAAGTCTTATGGTGATTGCACATTTGAGAATCTTTATTGTAATGGTGGTCACGCAAGGCTACACTTGTGATAAGATTATACAGAGCTACACACACACACACACACAAAGGAGTGCATAATTAACTGGTGAAATCTGAATAAGCTCTACCGATTGTACC